TGTGTGTGTGTGTGTGTGTGTGTGTGTGTGTGTGTGTGTGTGTGTGTGTGTGTGTGTGTGTGCTGTGGTATGTGTGTATCATTATATATATATAAGCATTATTTACAAAGTTTATCAGTGATATTCGATCTCTCGTCCGAGAATAGCGATTAATATAGTGCTAACTAATATTCAGCTAAGAAGATTAATCAGTTAGATAATTATTATACATAGTATAAGTATAGGGATCCTCCTTTCCTTCGTCCTTCTCTCCGTTCCGGAGCACCAACAGACGGAAAACGGCACAAGCAGATAGGATTCACTTATTTTTCGGCCTTCCTTCCTTCCTTCCTTTCTTCCTTCAGAGAATGATTCGAGTAAGGATATTTTAACTCGTGTTAGACGTATAGTTCGCGGGTAACTATCTCATGCGTAGCACGAAATTGTTACAACGGTCTCTTGCCGCGTATGCTAGCTCGTTAGGTAGTAGCTTAGTTTTCGAAGGAAAACAACGTGAAAAAAGAAGGAGAAAGGCGATTTTTTTTTCTTTTTTCTTTTTTTGGAGATCGCACGGTATCACTCGTTCCTGCCTCGTCATAAACGGTCAATTTCTCTTTTTTTTTTCAATAATTTCGTCGAAAACGCGGAATTTGGCTCGATCACTTCGACGCGCGAAGTTCATCTCTTTTTCGTTTTAATTTTAGCACTAGTTAGAGCGTCCACGAACGATTAATCTCTATGGAACTGCATGACACTCGAACAAATATTCGTGACGTCGTGTCGCGTACGAGCTCGAGACACGCGCGGTGTCATTGCCTCTTTCCTCCGCCCTCCCCCCTTCTCCCAACTCGTACGCGATATTTAACTCTAACGGGAAAAATATGTAAGCCCGACCTAAAAAAAAAAAAAAACTCCAACTACGCGTTTTCCCAATTTACACCACGGTATAGGCCCTTAGAGATTCGTTGTTATAAGAATAAGACGTACATCGCTAGATTTAAATAACGGGAACTACAAGAGAGAGAGAGAGAGAGGAGGGGGGGGAGAGAGAGAGAGAGAGAGAGAGAGAGAGTTGAAAAAAGAAGAGACGGAGGAAAGTTGAAGAGAGAAGGGAAATGCAACTAGTCTTAGTTCTAAACCAAATTTTATCGCGAAAAGTATGTCCAAGTTCGATATGAGAACTCGCTGTCATGCGTCGTAGGACGAGGAGGCCTAATTTTCCTTGTACGTGTGTGCCTGTGCCTGTGTAATCTTCACTTAATTATGCTTAAAAAGATAATTCGCCGTGAAGAAATTAATGTTACATGCTAGGGCTGTGCAAAATGATACTCGGTGTCAAGTGATCGTTATATCGAATAATCGACTTTGAAATCGTTGCGCAATCGGTTCGGGTAGCCGTTTGGATACTCCATTACCAAATAGTACTGGTTAACTAAATAGTAACTCCTAGATAACACTCTCTCCGTTGGCACTCCGTTCATTTGTTATAATTATATGTATATGTTACAATTTTATGTATAATTTTGTATATACAGGATGTCCCAGATTCTCGTCCGCAATTTTTATGGAAACGTAGAAGAACGGATTAAGGTGGACACCTGTATATATACATATATGTGTAAAATATGACATATAGCTGTAACACAAACGAATAAAGTACCACGTATTCACGATCTCGAGTTATTCCGAGATACAACAACTTGTACCGGCTCCAGAAATCATGTTCAGAGCCGAGTACCATCTCGCACAGCCCTATTACACGCGCATCGTGACGGTCAGGCGAGGGGACAGGGAGGTGGGAAAGGGGGAGAGAAATTATAGCTGTTAAGAGTGCGGCAAGTCGATGGTGTGTGTCTCGTTTCCCAGAATCAAGCGTAGCCTCTTCATAGGCGGCTGGTAATCGCGTTTCTTGTGTCCTCTTTCATGACTTCTGCTCTTGTGCTTTTTCCGGCGCTTACTTCTCTCCACTCCCTCGACGCGCAATACCTCGTACTCCGGCTCGTAGCTGTCCTCGCTCAGGCTGGTGCCGGACTCGGCGATGTCGTCTAGCACCGGCGACCGTTTCATACGCAACGTCAACTTCAGCCGTCCGCCGGTCCTCTCAGGCGTGACGGGACAATCTCGACAATCGGTATTGCTCATTCGCCATTGGCATTCGGATGGGGTCGAGGATTTACGCGCGCTGCTGTTGTCGTCGTAAGCTGCCAATCTGCAGAAAAGAAATTTCCTGTTTCATCTACTGCGATAATCCCACACCGATCATTTTATACGCGTACCAAAAAGTAAGTCCATCAATGAGTCACTTTAATTTTGACAATATACGACAGCGTACTAAACTAGCACAACACGCAGCAAAAAAAACGTCATTTTTCGTAAATAGTGTCGAATTGCTCCTCTCTCTGATGAAGTGAACCGAAATCCACAAAAAAGCGTCTCCTTGCTGTGTATTTATCAGCTTAGTATACGTCATTATTTATATTATTTATGCATCACCAAAATTAAGTTTTTTTTTATAGAATTAATTTCATAAATATTTCATAGAACTTCGAAAGAATTTTTATAAAATTATTAAAAAATATTAGAATAATCTTTATAGAATTAGAATAATTAGCTCTAAAAATGTTTTATAGAAAAACAAAATACTTTTTATAGAATTGTTTAATACGAGTATTTTTTAAGTAAAACGCTGCGTTTTTTTTTAGCTTTCAGGTTGAAGCCACATTTTTTGCGTGAATATTTCAGAATTACTTTGAAGTAAACCGAAATGTTGGAAACAAATTCAGCAGCTCAAAGAAAGCGGCTTTAATTGAGAAACAGCGGTTCTCCACATGAAAGCCCCGAATATCAAAAGACTTTATTATTCGTATTTACCTCTCCAAGCTTGTTTCGATATTGCAGTTCGCTCTCGACTGAACACCGTTATTGGAATCCGCGTCGTGGTTTCGACTCGGATCCGAAGCCGGCGGCCACGGTTCCTCCGGGACAAGTACCGGCGGCTCGGTCTTACTGTAGTCCTCGTTGCACTGTATCTCTTGCAAATGCGACGAGATCGAAGAAGCGTGGTGACGGGTCTCATGCTTACCGCCGCGTCTTATTATGGACAGTATGCCGATGTCCTCCAAGTTGCTCTCCTTCTCACTGAATTCGTAGATGTCGCCCTGAATACCCGAGTCGTCGTCGGCCTCGCCGATCTCGGCGGTTGCCGACCTCTGGCGATCCCTCCTCTGGCTTCTGGTCGATCGGTTCTTGTTCTTACTCGCTTTGCCATGGCTCTTTGTGCTCATGCCGTCGCTCGCCACATGTTGACCACCGTTCTCCAGCAATGCGCTGCGCTTGGACTTGGACTTGCCGGAGAGTCTCTTCTGCGACTTACGCGATCTCGAGGAACCGTCCGATGCGTCTTTTCGTTTGGACGACTTCTTGGAGGTCGTGAACTCGTGAGCGTTCTCATCGAAATTCGTATGGCCGGTTAAGTCGTTGTAGCTCGCGGTCTGCAAGCTCCTAAAGTCCGCTGGCGCGCCACTGTCCTCGGCAAAATTCACCCTGGCGTCGACGTCGATCGCACGTAACGCAGTCACGTCGGGCTTGACCGCGACGTCGCTCGTCTCCATACTGCCGATGTACGAATCGTTACTTTTCGCCACGATGCAACTCTGTCCCTCTAGGCTCGATACCATCAAACTACTACGGCACTTGAAAACATCCTCGGTACTAGCCGCCATTCCTACATCTATTCTTCCAGGGTGTAGTCCACTAAACTCGACATTGTCCGAGTGAGCCGTCGGACTCGCGTCGTTCACCGCGATCGCGCTTTCACAGCTCTCACTCTCCACTTCTCGATCCACAGTATACTTTTGCAGCACGATTACCTTCGTAGGATTCGTCTCGTCGCAATCTTCGTCGTCCGATCGGCTCGCCCCGACGTGCGAGGCAGCCAATACCCGCACGTCACTCTCGCGAAAATCGATCTGCTGTGAAACTTTCTCGCTGATTGATAACGAAGTGTCACCTTCGAATTCGCAAGATAACTCCTCGTTCAGTACTTTGCGACTCCCTCGCTCGTCCGTCGAGACGAATTGCCTGTTGTGGGACTTGGAACGTTTGCAACTCACTTGCTCGCTCAAGCTGCGTAGATCGTTCTCATTCTTGTTATCCCGCACGGGCGACGAAGCGCGGTAGTCCCTCGACTGGTACGTGCCCTCGGCCACCGGTTCTGCGGTGTGTAAACATTGTACGTGGACTTGAGACGTGGAACTAAGTCGGATTGAATCACAGGCGTTTGTACTATAATGTCCCTTTTTGTAATTGGAAGAATTAACATTATTTACTGTCTCAGGAGCGTCAACTTCCGCGGTGAGGTCCGGTATTCCCCGCTCCTCCTCCAGCGAGTCGCCGTTAGACTCGCTGGTATTCTCCGCCACTTCCGTCAGTCGCAACGGACACTCTCGTTGATAAACGGTACTTTCGTTCGAGGATTCGGACGCGACAGTGCGCCGTGGCTCCTCCGCGCAGAAACCATGCTCCATCTCCGCATTCGATGAGTGGATCTGCTTCTGTAATCGGGAATATAGACTCTCCTCGTGCACCGGCACTCTATCGGAATCCTCCTTGCGATGACCGATGTCCGCCACTTCCGTGTCCTTAATCACGGAATTGTTGAGACATGGAGACCGGGATTTCACGGCGAGCTTGCCTTTTTTCGATTCCGTTCTCTTGTGAAGTCTGCAAAATTAACATTTGTCGGTGCAAATGTTCCACCATTAAATATGCGAGACATTAGAATCTAAGGCTGCTATTCATAGTCAGATCTTACATTTATTTTTAGGTGTTCTATACAATAAAATTATTTATATAATTAAAAATAAAAACAAACTTAAATATAAGATCCGAATGAATATAAATGAATACTGTCCTAAAACATGGAGTAGTGGTTATTACTTGAAACTTGCCTCGCATGAAACATTCGAATTCGAATTTCAAATTAGAAATGAACTTTTCAGTTAAATTGCGATTACAAATTTGATATCATGTATATTATATAATTTCAACTTAACCCATATAACCGTTATTTGAAATCCATCTCAAATGAAATGCACATATTTTAATTTAAAGTTGGATGTGACCTCTTTAGTTAAATCGCTATTAAAAATGTAATGGTTCATACTATGAACTCGCTTTTATCACTAAAAACATCTCTAAAAATGGCTTATAACCAATAAGACTTTTAGAGGCGTTTTTAGCGATAAAAGAAAGTTCAGAATATAGATAATGTCGTGTGTGTCACATAATTCAACTAAGAAACTCAGATCTAACTCTAAATTCATATCCGAATTGAAACATGAGATAAGTTTCAAGCAAACATCTATTAAGAGAAATCTAAAAAAAACTCATATCTAATTCTAAATTCAGTTCTGAGTATTTTACATGAGAGGTAGTTTAAAAAATCAAAATTAAAGCGAATCTACTTTACCTAGGCGCTCTCAGTGACTGAGTATTTTTGATAGTGTTTGCGTCACCGGTGTTGCCGTCAAACTTGCCCAACTGTTTATTCCGGAGGTTCCTCGTGACGGAAGTGGTGGTCAACGCGGAAGGATGAGGTCGGGTCTGCAGCACGTTCTCGCCGTTGCTGATCGCTGGTTGCTGCTGATTGATGTCCGAGAAACGGCAGCCTTGCGCAATCAGCAACTCAGCGTCGTACTTGGTGAGTCCTTTGCGTCTCAGCTCCTTCATGCTGAGAGACTGTGGCGCAACCGCCACGTTCCCGACCAAGACGGCGTTTCGCTCGGTGAGAGCTGTGTCAGCTTGCTGCTTGTTCCTATTCAACGGTTGCTGTCGATGTTTCGTCCGGTTGATTCGGTTATCAGTTTCCCTCAAGCGATAACCTAGAGACAAATCCAAATCAGCGACCAAGCTCGTGACGATTTCTCTCACTTTTGCTTACGGCGAATATCGTGTGTGTGTGTGTGTGTGTGTGTGTGTGTGTGTGTGTGTGTTGTGTGTGTATGTAGCATACCTGATGATAATTCTTCGCCCGGCTTCTGACTCGCGAATGCGCCGGTTCCTCGCCTCTCGCACGTCTCGCATTCGCAGTAACAGTTGTTATCACCGAAGAAATCCTCCCCGTAAAAGCACGTTATCTCCTCACCCACCTCGATATCGCGCAGCACTTTGACGCAAGCGGTGTCTCTTCCCGTCGGCACAAACTGTGTACAATATCGTGAAATTAATATGCCTCACGCGTGTACGATAATGCAGTACGTTTCAAATTGCGCTTCAATCTCTCGTATAGATATTACTAACCTTGCAGTTCGCTCTGCAGTCGTGATTTATGTAGGCGGCAGGTCCCAACCATAATTGGGCACAATTTTTCCGGCAGCTGAACATTACGGAGAAGTCGTTCTTCCCAGGATGCAGCAACGCAGCTTCCTCCTAAAAATGTATTCAGTGTCAAATAAAAGTATGAAAAGTTCAAAAGAAAAACGAAATCTTAATTCGATTTTCCAACGAAATTAAATGGATTTCTTGATATACTGCATAGCATCCTTTCAAACCTTTTCACTAAGCTCTGCTATGCAACCGACGAGACAGGAAATCTTCTCGTTCTTCAGCCACTTTCGAGTGGCACATATCTTAGCACCCTTTTGTCCCTCTAAACTGTATCTGTAGCATGGCTCTATTGCAAATCCAGATTCCTTGTCAAAAACTCGCAGGTATCTCTTAACCTGTAGGAACAGTAGCTGTTTTATATATTTATATACACACATATATGCTAACAATTCCTGTGTGTATTTTTACATACGCACATTTTTACATACACACATGTATACATGTACGTATATGTGTAAACACTATGATATACTTTATTATTCATATAAAATTAACATTAAGCTAAAATTAACTCTGTGCAACTGTGTGTGAAAGGTTAATTTAAATGCAAAATAAAGAGCAGAGTGAGTGAACTGCACATTAAGTAATCAATGTCTCTGCTCTGGAACTTACATGGTTTTCCAGATTGATTTGTTGCTGTTTGGATTTTGTATGGGGAAGTCGTGCACCCCAGTCTCCACCCATTAGTTTTTTGTAAGCCTTTTCATAATTTTGACTCTGCATGAATTCACAGATAATTTTTCGGAGTTCATCCTTATTTGCCTTCAATGGTCTGTATCTATTATACAAAGCAATGGTTCAATAGGTCAGTGTCACAGATCTGTACACATACGCATGATACAACCATGAGTGTAAAGACACACACACACAAATATATATATATATATATATATGTATATATGTATATATATATATATATATATATATATATAGATACAAGCTTATATATATATATATATATATATATATATATATAAGCTTGTGTCTTTTACATATATCATATATACATATATATATATGTGTATATATATGTATATATATGTATATATATATGTATGTGTGTAGAATATATAAACAAGTGACTCCAAAATACCTAATATTCATTTTATGTGTGACAAATCCTAAGTAGGGATCTAACACGAGAGATGTGGCCAGGTCATCATTGTCGCAAAGCTCTTTAGGTGTCATTCCACCTCCTCCACCACCGGTATTCGTTTGCATTTTTGCACCTACTGTGCAACCTAACCTTCGCTCCTGCTTTCTTCCTATAGTTGCTGAGGCCTGAATCGAATAGCAATCCACCACCATTCTGCGACGCTAACTTTCACTAAAAATGCAAGAAGAACAGAAGATGTAACATCTCCATGAGAAAAGTTTTGCTTTGGCACATTGGGCACAATAGATTCCCTCTCAGACAAATTCAGGTTAATATATTCCTGTCAAAGGTTATCACGGTCTTCCCTTCACACTTGCAGAGCGATACACTTTACTGAATTTGTCATTGTCAACATGAAATCACGACACATCAACCTGAAGGGATTGAGCAAAGCGACAGCAGTGGAAGAGATAACATCCTCGAACCTGAACCAAGCCCATCAGAGACCCTTGCTTCGTGCGACGAAAGCAGCACGCGATCCGAACGCTAGAACCACGCCGAGCACTGTCCAATTCTCAATTAACAACTCTGTCTGCCGGAAGGAGCACGGTGACGTTTTCCGACGAGATATCGCTCCGAGTGTCGCCGCACATCGCTTATCTGTATATCGCGCACCGCCGACGTAGCCTCTCAGCTGTTCATCAAAATGTCAAACACCGCGGCAAGTCTGCTTTCCCCGGGGAAGCCTTTGCGGAAATTCTAAACGCACGTGTCATCCCGTCGCGACTTAAAGCTCACACGACGACACCACCTTCCCCTTGCTCAACCGCGTCCACTCTCTCCCCACAAACGTTGATCGCTCCGCGCACTGCGACGACACCCGGACGCACGACACAATGGCAACAACAAACGAAGCACGAGCTGCTCAGGAACGAGAACCCCTAGCGAGATCCCGTCGCAACGATCCCACCGCTTGTTCTCGTAAAAAAAAAGGGGGGAGTCGGTCGCGCAGCCTGCCTCGTCCTATTCACCACCGAGTTCATCGGCTCCTACGCCTCCTCGAAGCTCTGCTGAGCGACGAGCGCAGCGTCGCCTCGGGGTCGTCGACGGCCGTCGCTTGGAAGTCAGCGCCACGGACGGGACGAGCGTCGTCGGGTGTCGTCGTATCGACCGGATCGCCGCGGCAGTGGCGGCGACGGCGGCGACCTATGGGCGACGCGCCAAGCAGGCCCGTCGACATAACGGTCCACTGTCGCTGGGAAGACAACGGCGTCGTCGACGATCCGCCACGACGAGCACCGTCACCGTCGGAGCAGCGTACGCGTTGCGAGCAAGCTTAATGGCGGGGAAAGAAGAAGAGGCAGACAGAGACTGGCTTCGCGACGGTGCTAAATCGCGCGAGAGGGCACACATAGCAAGCTTGTGTGCATATATATGTGTGGCTATGTGCACGTATGTGTGTGTATGCGTGTGTATGAATGTCGTGTGTGTATAATCGTCGTCGTCGTCGTCTTTGGCAGACGCCGCGACGCCGACGCGTTGTCGCACGAAGCCACCACGCGTACTTACCACAATACTCTCCGGAGAATGAACCACTCGCATCTTGAACGGCCGGACCGTATATAAGCTAGGACACTAGCGACAAGCCTATTGTGTCGCGATGGGGACGCGCAGCAGCAGCAGTAGTAATCATGGCAGTTTCGTACCGAATCAGGTACAAAGAGGCAGAAACGCACGGCGATACGCTGCGCTGCGCAATACAGCGCGCACTTTCCCTTTGACCTAGGTTGTTGTTATTGTTGTTGTTCTCAGCTCACGCGGGCTTGCCTGCACCCTCAATTGGGCAACAACGACGACGACGACGACGGCGACGGAGCCGTCGGCCCGCGTCCCCGGTCCGTTGAGACGCGCTCTCAAGCTTGTTTTCGCGCTTCCTCGTGCGAGTGAGCGAGCGAGTGAAGAGAGAATACAAGAATAAAAAAAAGAAGAGAGAGAGAGAGAAACGACCACGACGGCGTAGCGACGACGACGGATATCAGTCGCGGCCGCGGGGCAAATTCATGTTTTGGGATGTCGCACAGTGTCGCGCACGTCGTCGTGTCTGTGAGGCATGTGTGTCGTGTGCCAGCGAAGGCGCACACGGTCGTGCGATGATGGTGCTTTAGGGGATTTGGTGTGTCACGACGCGCAGCGCTATCCTAATTATCGTCGTTCATTGGACAGTTCGAGGCTGCAAGCTCGATGATTGGCGGAGATCGTCGACGATTCAATGGTCACGTTTGGCTGCGTTCAGGTTTCCCACCCGGATGTATTCTATTACTAGAAGTACTATAGTTTATGTAACATATACTATAGTGTTTCTAGTAATAGAGTGCACCCGGGTAGGGAATCTGAACGCAGCCTATACTATAGCACTTCTAGTATTAGGCCGTATTTAGATCTATAGGCTGCGTTCCGAAATGCACTGCCAGTACTGAAAATCTATTGTTCATGTTACGTATATTATAGAATTTTAGTACTGGCAGTGAATTTCGGAACGCAGCCATAATG